ACTAATTATTAAATGAGATTGGACAGATTGATATTAGGGGCCTCCCAGGGGCCAGGGCCCTCCCCATCCAATGCTCCCTATATTATAATTTGGTGCGCCGCAGCAGACCGTAAAACAAGTTCCGAAAGCTTAATGTTTGAACTACCGTAGTTCTCAAAATAATGAATTAAGTCGTACTGAATTTTTTTTTATATATATTTACATATAACTGCTTATAAGAATATTTGAATTAACTATTTAAACTTAATCAGTAGCTTATAGTTTATATATAATAATTAATAATTATTATTGTTTATAATTTAAAATATCTAATTCATTTAATTAAAAAAATAATGTTTCAAAAACTCTAAAATAAGCACCCACCATATAAGGTTTCTGCATCGGATTAACAGCGCAGGCAATTGAAGATTGGACACAAGTCTGATGAGGTTTTGTGTAAAACGGCTGCGAAAAATAATAACTTCTTGGCGTTGAGGACGTCCATCATAGTAATTGATTTCATGAGCCCCAATTAGGAATCAACTTATTTGACAGTTGTAATGAATCTTCCGGCACTAAGCCTAAGGCATCTTGATTTTCATTTTTTCGTTGCGTCAAAGATGAGTTCAGTTTATTGGGATTTTGGGCTTCTGAATCTTGTGGCCCAACCCGATAGCCTCTTCAAATTGGGGTGGGTTGGTGGCTTCATTGGGTTCGGTTTCTCTAGGCCCATTGGACAAAATAAAAAGATCTGAGCCCTTCTCCCCTTTAAAAACCAACGGCTAGGCTATTTATAGCCGGCCCAAGGCCAAAATGGAAAGGAAAAGCCATTCCATAAGCCCTTAAACTTATTCTATTTTAGTATACAGCCCTATATCAGAAAACAAGCAAATAGGCCTTTGAACCGCACAAATTGTGGCAAATTGGTCCTTTATTAACAAATTAATTGATGTGACAATTTAAAGGAATACATAATGTTTATGCATCAATGTCACAATTAAATAAAAGTAGTAATTAAATTTTTAAATAAATATGCATTAATAATAATCATTTCTTTTATAAGCTACATTAGTTAAATTTAACATAAACTAGTAGTGAGGGCTAATTTGCTTTCATTGCATGGTTTAAGGATATTTTGCTTGTTTTTAAATTTAGGGGCATATTTACTAAAATGGATGCACGTTTAAGGGCTTAAGGAATGGTTTTGCCAAAACAAAAAGACTTCATAGTTACAAACTTACTAATTGGGTCGTCCTATAAAAACTTCTTGGGCCTAGCTGCCACTCCCCTCCATATTCCCATATTTTCTTTCTTTTTCTCCTTTTGTTTTTTCTTGTTTTTCTCTTCTTTTATCATGATTTTATTTTTTTTTTAAGGTTTTTTTAAGGGTTCTTGCCTCCCTTTAATGTTGGCTTATGTGGGAGTTCATCTTTTCAAGCATTGTCCATATGAGTTTTTATCATTATTTAATATTCTTTTCACAGATGATTTAAAGTAGGAGAGGTAGTTGATATGCGTTGTGTTTCATTAAAATACTTTTAGCAACAAACTATCTCAACAATTACCTTTTCATCTTTTGGTGTTGGTGGCTTATGCTAACTTGCAACTTTATTGTCAGTTCAAGAACCAGGTTTGACTATAATATCCATGTGTACATTACATTGCTCTATGATGATATGCTTAACCAAGAGTTTGACACTTTCATGACTATGTTTTATAGTGCCCTTGGTGCACTCCACTATGTGAGTCGACTTATTATCCTTGCAAGTTACTATTATTGAAGAATGAATTAATTTTTACTCAAAAAAACAAAAAATTGCTTAACCATTTTCTTCCTCAACATATATATGATCGAAAATGATCTACATTCTCTCCTTTGCTTCAATTCAAAGAATTCAAAAAGATTTTATCATTGTTTGAGTTCGACGCCAAATTTTAACTAGGGTTTTTAGTATCTCTCTACATTTTGACTTTGGCTCTCCATTTTGTTTACATTTTTGAATTCTTTTTCTTCTTCCCTTGACTGTAGGATCGAATGCATGAGTTTTAGCCTTATGAATTTCATAAGATTTCCTCTTTTTCCAAAAAAAAAACCCCATTTTTAAGCTAGTGGGTGGGACCATAATGGACCTAGGTATGTCCCTAAACCACTCTAGAGAAAGAGGGCACTCCAACACCAAAGTCCCTCCAGATGTTGTCTACCAGCTCTAACCCCCCAATTGTAGCCATAGTTGAGTTTGAACCTTTTTCGGTTGAATTCTCTGTGAAAGGTCAATGTGGGTATGTTCATTAACCCACTCTAAAGAAAAGGGTACTTAGATACAAAATTCCCTCCAAAGAGACATGGAACTCCGTTAACAATTGCCCAAGGGTAACCAATCCCCAGATGGTGCCTCCCAGGTCTAGACATTACTAGAGACTAAGATTGAGTTTGGTCTTTTCTTGCCAAATTCTAGGTGAAAGATTGAAGTGGGCATGGTCCTTAAACCACTTCAGAGAGATAAGGAACTCCATTAACAATTGCCCATTTGTAACCAATTCTTAAATGGTGCCTCCCAGGTCGAAACATGATTAGTCTAAGTTTGGACCTTTTTCGTCGAATTCTTAATGAAAGGTCAAAGTGG